TAATTTTAAGCAAAAATTAAAATTTCAAATTATGCCCAACTCTTGTTTATAACACAATACTAAACATGGGATTAGCATCGTAGTTTTTGTGATGAGTTGGAATTGATTTATCTCTCCTGAATTAGATGTCATATTTTAGTTCATTTTTACATTAGTAAATGAAATTTTGATCCTTGTATAGGAATGTCTATTAGAAACCAAGTCTCTCATTCCTTTGTTAAGGGCACTTGTGAAAGTTACTTCCGCAGAAAAAATTAGTTGTTTGCTGGTTGTTTTATATGTTTTTTAACCATTTTCTTTTAAGTGGAACTATCATAAATTTAAAAAATTAGTTAAGATCCTTTATGAAAACAACTCTACCAATCATCATATCGTTTATAACATTTATAATTCAACTATTTGATTCAAGACTATTATATAACCCACGGTGTATCCAGGGCAAATAGTTATTTACATGAAATTAGAATATTTGTTTTCAAGGAGGTTTTAGGCTCTTGAGGGAGGTATGAATGCATGAATCATTAGACTTTAGATCAACCTTATTTTTATTTTGTTTTTTTTTATTAATGTAGGTATTTGAGCCAGCTTGCATGTATCTCAACTAATTTTATAGGCCCTGAAGTTAACGACCATGTAAGCCTCCTGATTAGTACTTAAAAGTATATTTTTATCAAGGTTTTATATCATTATTTTGCACTTGAAGTATTGATAACTCTTTAACTAAAGCATGTTTTATAATAACATATCTAATAATATAAGATACCTTTAATTTATAGTAAATATTTGTTTTAAATGCAGGTCTATCACATAAATAAAAGGATTGATTGATGAGTTTAAGAACTGAAATTAAAAGGACAAAGAGATGGCCAAACTTAGAAAAGAGATGTTGGTGCAGTCCAAACTGGAATACTAACTGGTAATTGAGTCATATGGATGAAAAGGTAAGATATGGGCCTACAACTTTCATGGGAGCACAAGATTTAAAAAAGTCATTCTCAAGTCCAAATTATAGCAACAACAAAGAAGCCTGAATCTGTCCTATAACCCAAACACTGTTTAGTGTTTGGCTTATATCTGGAGTTCTAAAAGTTCATATAACCTCTATTTTTTTTTCTTGGAAATGTAAGATAATTTTCTAGAACTTTCATGTTTTTAAGTGGTTCCAATTCTAATGTTATCAATGACATTTTAGGTAGATAAGAGAAGATAAGGATTGTCACCAAGTCAAGAGTTGGTCACCCACTCATCAGTTAGCCATCAAATCAATAGTTTCTAAATTTGACCTATAAAAAGAGGCATTTGCCATGCATTTAGGCATCTTGGTTTCTAGATCAAGATCATATTCTTGTTTTATTTACTATACATTTAGACATATTGGTTTCTAGATTAAGATCATGCTGTTGTTTTCTCTCTTTATATTGCTTAACTTTTGCTTTCATTAATATTAAGTTTATGACTTTCATTTCTTTTCCTTTACTTAGTTAACTTTTATCTTATTTATGTTCTTATTTTTTTTATTTATATTTTTTTCATTCATTATGTTTAGCTAAATTTATTATGTCATGTTGAAAATGTTACATTAATGGTGTAAGAATAGGTATAATGTTTCATACTAACATATTTTGTATTTGTTATCTTGTTCACTCTTTAATACTTTACTTGTTAAATGACTAATCTAGATTTATGTTGTATAACACTTGGTAGAACAAACACTTGGCACTTTCATAGCCTATACTATATGATATAACCAATACCTACGTTATGAAAGAAACTTGATTTGTTGTTAACATAAATTATAATCATGAATATCTGATAACATTTATAAGTATTAGCATTATTTAAATAAGTTAACTAATGTAATTATATTAACAATTTATAATCTGATTGGAACCTTCTTTGTGTATGATTTCCTATTGAACAATAAGAGTTATATTATACTTACTTGACATACCATTAATGGATCCTCTAACATTGACATTTGTTATTATCATTATTTAATTCTTATGTCAATTATCTATCTCAAAATTCTTATCAACTTTATTATTATTATTATTATTATTATTATTATTATTATTATTATTACTACTACTACTACTACTATTACTACTACTACTACTATTATTAGTATTGTTATTATTGTTATTATTGTTGTTGTTGTATTATTGTTATCTATAATTTATACAATTAACCTCTCTGTAGTTCGATTCTGGTCTTGCCGAGTTATTTATTACTTCGACACTCCTGCACTTAGGAGAAAACATTAATCTCTTGGTTATGTTATCTCCAATAACCTTGAAGGGATTCAAACTCGTGACTATTAAAGAGCAAACTCAACATCTGATAATTGAGTTACCTCTCGGGGTTTTAGAGCAACCTTTTTTTATATAAAATGTAAGTATATAAAGATAAAAAAGAAAGAGAGCCAGGAAGCCAGCAACTCACATTTACAAACATGTAAAACCTAAGGGAACATCTTCCCAAGAAAAGCAAATTAAGCTAACATATACAGATTACAATGCAAAGCTGGAGAGGGAAACATGATCCCTTAACATAAAAATATAAACAAAATTGGTTAACAAAGAAACTATAACTAGAACAGGTGCTGAAGTTAACCAACAAAAGAGCCATACAGTGCCAAAAAAATCCAGCCACAACAGCATATCAAGAACAAAAGAGAGGCCAGGCCATTCCGAAACCACCCGCCAACAAAAACAAAAACCGCAGATTCAGCACTGCATCCTAAGACCAAGCAGAAGCCAGCTAGGAGAGCAAACACCAGGAGAGAAGAATTATCAACCATGCAAACATGATTCAACTCATCAAAAAATATCGGACATAGGCCTGACAGTAACCCCACATCAGCCAAGATTAAGACAATTGTGATCTTTCTCAAGTGAAAAACTGTGAAGAACATCACTTGGAATTTCTGGAAGCGATGGAGATGCAAGAGGATTCAAATATCCTCTTGTTTCTTTCCTCCCAAATTAGGTAGACTATAAGTCCTAAAGAGACTCTCTGCATTCTTGCTTAAATATTATTTCCCCCAGAGGTAAGACCTCAAATTGCACTGGTCAGAGTCGACATTCGGCGATGCATACGCAGCCGGAATTTTATGCTCCCCGAGAAGCATGATGTCCTACTGCAAGCAAATAAAAGATGCTGGTGAGATTCCTCAGCTTACCCATAAAACACGCAGGAGGTGTCCAATGGGATGAAATATAATATGTCCTTCGTTTTAAGCTTCTCTACAACCGCAAGCCATAGAATGAAATTGTATCGCGGCAGAGACCAGGTTTCCCATACTACACTGTCCCAGTTCACCTGAGTAGAAGGACTCCGGAGATAATATTCATAAGCTTTAGATGAAAAGCGATGAACACCACTGGACCAACTCTTGAGTAGAGTTACAGTTTCATCTATACTCCCACAGCTCTCTACTAGCTTATCTCTAAGACGGATAATGAATTTTCATAATGGGAAGAAGGACGTATGGGCACACACGGTCCATATAGAGTAGGTATGTAAATAGTAGTGGTGAACCCATTGAATCCAAATGGAATCTGTCTTCAAATGAATATTCCAGAGATGTCTAGCAAGGAAGCTCTTGTTTCTGGCCTTTACATCAAATAAGCCGAGGCCCCCTTCTTTCTTTGGGAGGCAGACACTGTTCCAAGCAACCAAAGAAGATGTGTTTTTAGTAGTGTTGCCTGTCCATAAGAAATTCCTACAGGTGCTGATGATCTGGTTGATGACAATAGCTGGAAGAGGGAAGACAGTTATCCAGAATTGAACCGTACCAAATAGAACAGTCTTCAAAAGCTTCAATCGACCAGCATATGAGAGATTTTTACCCATCCAGTTCTGAACTGCCGGCTCCAATTTGAATAAAAGAGGAGAAAACTGACTTGCCAATAGCCTGTGAGGGCTAAGAGGGACACCCAGATATGTGAAGGGGAAGGATCCTTCTTTAAATCCAGAATCATGAAGAAGAGCCAGCTTAAAGTCAGTTTTCTCCTCTTTGATCCTTCTGTAGAGCAACCTTATTGCGTGGAAGGGTAGTGAAGAATATGTTTAACCTAACCGTGAAATTTCATGAAAGAGTTGCTGAAATTGACTAGTTTTTCATATTGCCTTAAAAGTAAGGGTACTGTGCATTCACATCAACCTGATAGTATGACAAGTTACATTATCTCAACCATGCAAATATTCTCTACATTTTATGACTAATTGGCTCTCTCATTAAGATACATTTATTTCATGGAAAATGATTTTTTAATTTTTAATTTTAAAAAAATTATATTATTTTCTGATTTTATTAAATTTAATTTTTAAACATTTAATTATTATATATTTTGTTTTGATTTGTTTTAATTTTATCATTTAAAATTTAATTTAATTTGTTTTTTATATAAATTTTAGTTTTTATTTTTATAATTATTATTTATTTTATTATTATTATTTAATTAAATTTTTTTATCTATCAAATATGGTCTTTATTCTTTTTGTTGTTATTTATTTAATTAAAAATAATTTATGAAATTGTAATTTATTTTTAATTTCATTATTTTTTAACTTTTTTATATGTTAGATTTGATTTCTATTATTTGAAATAATTTATAAAATTATATTTTTAAAATTTTATTATCATTCGACTTTTAAATTTATAAGATTTGTTTCTAATTATTTTAATAAAATTAAAAAAACAAAACTTTAATAAGTTAGTTTTCAATTTATTTTATATAACATAACCAAATATTAAAAAATATTTTTTAATTTATTTTTTCATTACATTACTAAATATTAAAAAATAATTTATTTTTTAAAAATTTACTTTCCAAAATAAAATATTTTTTTATAAATAAATAATATTTAAATATATAACCAAATAAACAATTCAAATATATATTAAACAGGGGCCGCGGCTGACGCAGGCCTCCTTTATCACAAATTTTGACTTGCACTCTCCGACTTACAGAGATGTTAGACAGGTGCACCTCCATTATAACTGACAAACATGAACAAGAAACTGGTGGGTGGAGACAAATACAGTTGCAATGTTTTTCAGGATCGTCTTTTTGGTGCGTGTCTTAGTTAGCTTGGCAATAGCAGTCTCTCAAGATCTCAACTTCACCTTCTCTGGCTTCCGATCTACTAATCTAAGCCTTGATGGCTTAGCTGAGTTAACCTCCAATGGCCTTTTGAGGCTAACCAATGTAACTTACCACCGAACGAGTCACGCCTTCTATCCAAACCCAGTAACCTTCAAGAACTCTATAAATGGCACTGCTTTCGCCTTCTCCACTACCTTTGTTTTCGCTATCATACCTGAATATCCAACTCTTGGTGGCCATGGTTTTGCCTTTGTCATTGCACCCACAAGAGGTCTCCCAACAGCTCTTCCAAACCAGTACCTTGGTCTATTTAATGAGAGCAACAACGGGAAACAGACCAACCATGTTGTTGCTGTGGAGCTTGACACGATATACAACAGCGAGTTCGATGATGTCAAAGATAACCATGTTGGGATTGATATTAATGGTTTAAAGTCTGAACGATCTGCTGCACCAGGATATTATTCTCAACTTAATGGTAAGCTCACAAACTTGACATTAATCAGCGGCCATCCAATGCAAGTTTGGATGGAATATGATGGCATAGAGAAGCAAATTAATGTCACTATAGCTCCGATTGATGTTGATAAACCCAGTAGACCACTTTTGACTTTGTCTCGTGATTTGTCGCCAATCTTAAACAGTAGTATGTATATCGGATTCTCATCATCCACCGGTTCTTTTTCCGCGTCCCAGTATGTGTTGGGTTGGAGCTTCAAGATGAATGGCCTAGCTGAAGCACTAAATATCTCTCGCCTTCCTAAACTTCCTCGAGTAGGACCAAAGAAGACATCCAAATTCTTAACCATTGGACTGCCTGTGCTCTGTTTAAGTTTGGTTTTAGTAGCAGTCTCGAGTATATCTTATGCCATACGAAGGACAAGGAAGTTTGCAGAAGTGCTAGAAGATTGGGAGCATGACTATGGGCCTCACCGATTTAAATTCAAAGATCTTTATACTGCCACCAAAGGATTTAGAGACGAGGAGCTGTTGGGTAGTGGTGGATTTGGTAGAGTCTACAAAGGTGTCTTGCCAAGCTCTAAGATTCAGATTGCAGTGAAAAGGGTGTCTCATGAATCAAGACAGGGGATGAGGGAATTTGTGGCGGAAATTGTCAGCATTGGTCGCCTTCGTCATCGGAATTTAGTCCCTCTCTTGGGGTACTGCCGGCGTAAAGGAGAGCTACTTTTAGTATATGACTACATGCCTAATGGAAGTCTAAACAAATACCTCTATGACCAACCACCAGTCGCCCTCAATTGGAGCCAAAGATTTAGAGTCATCAAAGGCGTAGCTTCAGGGCTATTTTATCTACATGAAGAATGGGAGCAAGTTGTGATTCATAGAGATGTCAAGGCTAGTAATGTCTTGCTGGATGGTGAATTGAATGGAAGATTAGGGGATTTTGGCCTTGCAAGATTGTATGACCATGGAACAGATCCTCAAACGACCCACGTTGTCGGAACTCTTGGATATCTCGCACCTGAGCATGCACGAACTGGTAAGGCCACGACAAGCACTGATGTGTTCGCTTTTGGGGCCTTCTTGCTTGAGGTTGCTTCTGGTAGAAGGCCAATACAGCCAACTGAGGATATAATCTTGGTTGACTGGGTGTTTAGTCGATGGCTTGGAGGTGAAATTCTGGAGGCAAGGGATCCCAATTTGGGTACAGAATACATTGCAGAGGAAATGGAATTGGTATTGAAACTTGGTTTGATGTGCTCTCATTCTGAGCCTGCAGCAAGGCCAAGCATGCGCCAAGTAGTGCAGTTCTTAGAGGGGAATGTTCCTCTGCCTGAAATTTCACCACTTCTTCTTTCTGCAAGTGGCCAAAAATTTTCACATCGTGAAGGTTTTGATGAGTTTGCCAATTCTTATCCTTCTTCTATGGACAAGGCATTTGCACATTCGTCCTCGGTTGCAGAGTCCCTCCTTTCAGGTGGCCGTTAATTCTTACTTTTCTTCAAGGACCTTGTTGAATTAATGTCTCAGAAGCTGCTGATATGGAAGATGGAAGAGTTTAGAGTCAAATAAAACTCATGCTGGTTTGAAGTTTTAAAAGATTATTAGGATTTGCATAATCTTCTTTTCTAATATGTAACAAACAGCAGCAGATACTGCTGCTGTTTATTTGCTTTTGCTGTTTTAAGAAGTGTTTAAATAAGACTTCTGATAATCAATAAAATTAACGAAGTTTTCAGAAAATCTTTGTTCTCTGTTAACATTTACATTTTATTCTGTCAAAAACTATCAGACCTTATCAAGAACTCATGTAAGATCTATTTGGTGAATCAGAGGAGTTTCTGTATGCAATACATTACCTTATGAGTGGGTTTTTTTTCAAAAAAAAGAAAATTATGTAGTAAACTGCCTTTAGGAGATGTACATGAAAGATCACCTGCAAAACAATGATGCAAATTAAATAAAATGCATTACACGACGTCCCTCCCTTTTATTTATGTTGATGTATCACATAAGAAAGCAAACATTGTAACAAATCATGAAGCAGGAGGTAATGTTTAAAAGACATGCATAGTTATATAGTTGGAAGTAGCACATCAAGTTACCTAATTAATTTCCCAAATATATAAAGATTTAAAAATATATTCTATATTATTATTTAATATATTTTTTAAAATAATTTTTTTTTGAAATTTGTTCAGACTAACTCTATTTGTACTTAATTTTTATTATATAAATAAAAATAATAAGTTTTAAATTTAAAACTACTTAATTATTAAAATTCTAATAAGATTTTAAAAAATCTGATAATTTAAATTATTAAATAAATTTTTAAAATATACTATATATTATTCTACCCTACTTATTCTTTAATAAACCGATCCTCGTTTTTTTTAGCATTATAAATAGTCCAGTTTTGCATCAATTCTAACTAGCTACGTGTCAGGATTGAATACCACATGACCGGTACTAACTCTAAACTGAAACAACCTTTTCAATCATCACTATCACTATTTCCCTAACCTGGAAGACATGCAACTCAATAAAACAGAGAAGACCACCAAAATTACTTGTGTTGTTATTGTTTTCCTGTTTTGTACCAGGAAATTAGGACAAACTAAATTGAGAGCCTCGTTACGTGTTACGCTATTGATCAAAACTAGTATTTCTCAGCACAAAAATAGGTATTCAGGTAAATGTAAGTCATTTTAAAAAAATAAAAAAAATCATATCTGAAACTCTAAAACTCAAGTTACTAACAAACTCCATGGGATTCAATAAATTATGATCTTTTTTGTCATTCTGAAGAGTATACATGATGTAGATTTCTCTTATATTTATTTTTATATATTAAAATTATTTTAAAATTTTTAATTTTATTTTATTTTTAAAAATTAATATTTTTTAATGTTTTTAATTTATTTTAATATCTTGATATTCAAAATAATTTTTTAAAAATAAAAATTATCATTATAATATATTTTTTTATTAAAACAATTTAAAAAAACAAGTATAACCATACTTTTAAATAGGCTATTAGCCTTATTCATAAATATTTCTAAAAGCTACCTAGTTATAATATATCTATAATTTAAGTGATTAAAATTATATTAAGAAATGTAATTTAATTGATTAAATTTTATATTTAGTTTTTAAAAATTATTATTTGAATGTTATAACTTTTAAAGTTATCAAAGACTCACATGATTATAAAATTAAAAACTTTAAAATATTAATTAAAATACATGTAAACAAACCCAACTATCCTCTACCATGAAAAACAAAACTCCCAGGATCACTTGAACTGAAATCCACATAGGTCACGTTTGAATTTACTTTATTATATATATATATATATATATATATATATATGCGATAGAAAATTTTTTT